GTTTCCTGCATTGGCTCGTTGTGTTTTTTATTGTTTGCAAAAGGAAGCAGTTGGCTTTAATACTTCCTACGACCGCCGCCTTCCGAGGGGCCGAGCTGTGTCCTCCATCCCTGCTTTGGGGCACTGAATCTGAGCTCTCTTCCCAGCAGGGAATTCCTCTCCTCCTCCTGCAGCCATGACCCTCCCTCCCCGGTTGCTCCAGTTGGAAGATGTGGGGTGCCTGTGGGGCGGTGTGGGGTGGGCTCAGCCCACGGGTGCCTGTGGGGCGGTGTGGGATGCTCACGGGTCCATCCCCACAGCAGTGGGACCCAGAGCTGCGTTCACACGGCGGCCCCAGATCCAGAGCAGCTCCCGGTTGCTGCTCTCCTCTTGGGAATAAAAGTCCCTTTATGCCGCGTTAATTAGTTTAATTAGTTAAATTTATTTAGTTAATTAGTACTCACAGCCCGCTAATTATTCTGGGGCAGAAGTGACTTTTATTCCAGCAGTGTCCCCTCAAAGGGCCCTTTCTGCCCGCTCCTCTTCACAAGAACTATTCTGGGCCGTTTCCCCGTTTTAGACAAAGTCCTTATTTGCAAAGCCAGCGAAATTAAGTTGACTCATGAATGGAGGCCAATGGCTCTGGCCGGGCTCCAGCGCTTGTAGGGCCGCGGCTGCCGCTGCTGTCCTGCATGGGGACCCACTGCCGTCCCATCCCATCTCGTCCCATCCTCTACATGGCCCTGCTGCTGTCCCATCCCACTCCATCCCATCCCATCCTGCACACAGCCCCACTGCTGTCCCATCCCTTCCCATCTCATCCCGCCCCGTCCTGCATATGGCCCGGCTGCTGTCCCATCCCGCCCCACACGCAGCCCCACTGCTCTTCTATCCTATCTCATCCCATCCCATCTCATCCCATCCCACCCCACACACAGCCCCGCTGCCCATCACCCCCCAGGCTCCATCCCCACGCACAGCGCAGTGTTTCAGCTGTCTGGATGAAATGCCAATTAATCCATACCGTGTAATTGCTTTATTGCACAGCGCGGGCAGATCCCTGGGGATCGTTATCAGCTGCAGCCAGAAGCCATAAATAACGGCCTTTGGGGCGCAGCTCTGTGCTCTGCTCTGGTCCCAATCCGGGGCATCGCCCCCAGCCCAGGTCAGTGGGGCGGGGGTGCTATAGGGGGGTCACACGTTGCCCTGCAGGCAGCCAGCAGCCGGGACCCCC